TGTGGGGGGAAGACAGGGCTGATGCCCTCGGAGAGATAAACCTGCAGGGGCCCCTCCCAGGTGGACTCGTGGTCTGAGCATATGGTGGAGAACACCCTTAGCCCTGCGCCCAGGACTCCCGCCGTGTCCAGCTGCGCCCTCTGCTGGGAACTCGCAGCACTGCGCCTGCGAGAAGGCACTCGGGGCGAGGGAGGCCCAGATGCTCCTCCACACAGGCAAGGCACTGATCCAAGTGCCGGCGGTGCTGGGGGAGAGACCCTCAGCGTCACCTGGAAGGAAGCCCATCTAGGGTCACAGCTAGGACACGGTGCCTCTGAGTCTGAGAGACACACGGCTGCCCAGACACACACAGACATGTCTGCATGGACACAGGCATCCTCCCAACCTCCCTGCTCCCCAGGACCCAGGGCCACTGGCTCCTCCACCCCCCACTCCTCACATCCTCAGGTCCCCTGGGCAGGGTCCCTTCCAAGGCTGTGGGCAGACCCTACTGTCTCCTGTCTCTCTGCCAGGTCTGACCTGCCCTGCACCACCTGGGTGCAGGCTTTTATCTGCACGGTCAACAGAATGAAGGAGCAGGTGAAACAAATGTTGTCACTGAGTCAGTCTCTCCAGACCGTAAGGTCCCAGACAAGGAAAGGAAGCACCTTCAGTCGTCCCCCTGACAGCTGTGTGCCCAATGCCTGTCAGCGGGTGCCTGGGCTTTCTAGTGACCTGTGTGGTCCTCACCTGGCCCTGCTCAGGTCAGTGTCACACCTGAAAGGATGACCAGACCCAACCCCCTACCTTCCAGGCTCAGGGAGATGCCAGCTCTGCCAGTCACCTTTTCCTGGGCTGCCCCAGGGCTGACCTGGCACAAATGTAGCCTGTGAACTTTGCTGAGAAAAGGGTCCCCGGGGGTGGGTGCTGAGACCAGCCCCTTGGATGGGACCACCGAACCCCCAGTGGAGGCCTTTGCTTCTGTCTGATGGGGCTCACTGAGCATAAACTCCACCTGACTTTTACCTTTCACCTAAAAGGTCTCAGTTGTTGATATTATTTCATAAAGAACATTTATCAAAGAAAATAAGGAGGCCAGCCATGCACTGGGGGGCGGGCAGGGGGGGCACTCTGTCTTGCTCACCTCCTCCCAAAGGGCCCACAGTGGGTGGGATGCACATGCAGCAGCCCTGCCCTGGGTCCCAGGTGACAGGAAGGGGCAGAAGGCCCAGTTGGGTTTGGGAGGGGGGTCAGGGCAGGGAGGAGGTCTTCTCTGCCTGCACCTACTGCTGTCAGAGCTCCACAATGAGCCTCTGTCACTTTTAAAACCAGCTAAAAACAACACACCTTTGTACTTTCCACTTTGGAGATAATACGTGTTTGTGATAATGAAAGTTTATGAGATCTTTGTGGAAAATTGGGAAATAGAGAAACTGCCCAGAGGTGAAAAGGACTGGCGCTCAGCGGCCAGGCTGTTCTCAGGTCTGTCTCTGCTTTTCCGCACCCTGGCGCCAGGCGAGTCCTCTCATGATGTCATCACACTGCAGCCTGCAGGCAGGTGATCCCCAGAACAGACCCAGGGTCCAAGGGGACAACTGGCCTCAGAGTTTCCAATGGGTCTCCACCCACTCATTCATCGTTCATTCCAGCTGTGCCAGACGCCGGACACAGCAGTGACTCAGGCTGATAAGAGTCCCAGCCCGCCAACCACTGGAACACCCTGAGCCTGCGGCCGGGATGCAGGGTGAACGGTGGACACCAGGCAGGCACACCTGCCTGTCACTCACTGGGGACCAGCCCTATACCCTCGAGGCCCTAGGGGGTGGGACACTCAGCGACCTCACCCTCTGGAGGCGGGTCCATTGGCCTGGGCTGCCTGGAGTTGTTTTGCAAAGCTTGTTGGGGGTGCGGGAGGGGCTCAGGGAAGCATTCTGGGCATTCTGGACAATCCATGTACCCTCACCAGGGCCTGGGGCTGGTTATGGTCAGAGATCCCCGTCCCAGAATAGGCCTTTCCCCTCCCCCAACCCTCATGGAGAACAGAGGCCCCACCCTCCAAACCCACCTGACCCCGAGCAGACAGCGACAGCCCCCTCTGGACTTCCTCACCAAGACTGGTGGCCCCAGCCTCCAGCCTCCTGGATGGAGGGTCCCATATGGCACTCAGGTCTTCAGGCAGAGGCCAGTATCCATGGGGCCACTTGGATGCGGAGGCTCCCATCGCGGCCAGGGCTTCCTTCCTTAGAAAGGGCTCTTGTGTTTGGTGGAGCCTTGGATGGAGCAGGTCCAGGAGATGGTGCCCAGGGAAGGGCCCCGGCCGGCCAGTGCTGCCTTCAGTGGGCATCAAGGACAGGACCCACTGACCCCTCGTCCTCTATCTCCATCCCACTCTGGGGCAGGAACGTGGGGGGAGGGTGCAGTGGGGCATCTTGCCCAAGGCCGCATGCCAGGCTGGGCTGCCGATAGCCCAGGGGACACAGCTCCAGTGCTGGCCATGGGTCCAGGAGAGGGGGGCTGGGGGCTGCATCCCACACTCTCGCCCCTGGGCTGCGGCTTCCTACTCCCTCCGGTGGTGGGCGTGGAGGGATGCCCATGGGGTAGGGCTGGGAGCAGACTTACACGGCTGTCAGAAATGTTAAGTGGGCGCCGGAAGGAAGTGTGGGCCTGGGCAAAAGTGCCACCATATACACAAAGGCCTGGAGGCGGAGGCAGCTGGGGGCTGGCGGGGATGAACCAGAATGGGGCTGGTGGGAGACAGGGCAGGAAGGCCCGGGGTCCCTAAGGATGACGGGACCACTGCAACTCCTACGTCCAGAGAGATGGACACGGATGGACTTAGGTTTTAGGGAAACAGAAGGCTGATGCAAAAATCCCAGCTGGACCAGGTGGCAGCAGTGGACATAATCACCAAATGGAGGTGACCACCCAGCACCAGGGAACTCTGAGCTGAGAATGGGAAAAGAAGGGGTGGGCACCCTGAGATGGAGAAGGGCCTATCTGAGGGAGGCCTGGTGGGATGAGAGATGGCGGGGGCAGGGCAGGTGTGGTCAGCCCAGTGGGGCCATCAAGCTTGGGAACGAATCTTGAGCCTTAAGTGGACATGAGCAGCTCAAGGGCCTGAGAAGCACTGAAGACTGAGGCGGAGGTGGTGGGGGTGCATTTCCAGGTTGCAGGAGGAAGCGGCAGAGGGAGGTGCAGGAGAGGTGGGAGAGAGCAGTGTTCAGGGGTGAGTATGCTGCCAGGGTCAGTTCAGAAAAAAGCAGAGAATTGGCCAGTGTGTGTAAAACACAGGAGTTGACGGTGACAGTGGGGGACGAGGAGGGCTGAGAAAGTGGAGATTGGGCTGCAGATAGTTGTGGGGGGAGGCGGGCGGGGATTATGTTGTAAAGAAGAGCAGAGAAGTGGGCAGGTGGGTGGAGGGGTGTGGTATAGAGAGGGCTTTGTTTTTTTTAGGATGGGGAGTTCAAACCACCCTAACTAGGAGAGAGGTGGGCTGTCAACAGATTTGTGTGTCCATATCTAGGGAGGACATAGGTTCTACGACCATAGGGACATGGTTCTTCAGGGACACCCAGCACCGTGTGCTGGGAGGCGCCAGGAAATGTCTGTGGAATGAAAGAGTGAATGAGAAAGCCTCACACTATCCAGGGGAGGAGTTGTGAGGGCTTAGCCAGGACTGCAGGCGACGGTCAGAGGTTGCCAACGGGGTGGCGGTGGGGGAGGGGAAGGAGGCAGGCAACAGCGGGTTGGCCCAGCGGAGGACCGGACTTGGCTCGGGAGGCAGGAATGCCGGGTCTGCAGATCCCCGAGCCCGGGTGGGCACCTGGTACCCGGCTGAGGGCCCACAAATTGCAGATTTGGGTACCTGTGGATGCAACCAGTTAAGGTCGTGCTCCTTAGGGAAAACCCCATCCCAAGGTTAAGGGGAATGGGCCCAGGATAGAGGCACCTGGGGGGTGGCGGCGTGGAGAGTGTTCCAAAGACAGTCCGGAACAAACGCCTGGTGTTAGTAAGACCCAGAGAGGATGTAGATTCAGAAGTGAAGGTCTCCGGCGGCCTGGACAAACGCAGCCCTTTTGTCCCGGACCGAGGAGTGAACTGGAGCAGAGGGAGAAAGCTAGCGAGTGTAGACAAACCTTCCGCACGGAGTGGAGGGCCGCTGAGTCCGGACCTGCCGGCTGTGACCTTCGCTGGGCTTTCGGCTCTTTGCAGTCTGTCTCCCCGTCTCTAAGCTGGTCGAACGCGGGTCACTCATTCCGAGCGCCGCTCGGAATCCATGGTCGAAGGGGCGACACGTTGCCGCTGTCCCCTAGCCCGGTAGCTCGCAGACTCGCGCTCACCTGAATTACCCGGACTGTGAGCTCAGACTACTGGAGTTTCAATTCAGCGAGTCTGGGCTGGAACCTGTATTTCCAACAAGTTCTCGAGACGCTCAGCGCGGGAGCCCACCTGGGAATTGCGGCCCCGGGAGCCCACTGCACCCAGGGGCAGACGTGCCGGGCGAGCAGGGGGCGCAGGTTGCCGGGCGGAGCCGGGCCACGCGCGCTCCCGTTGGCCGCAGGTGGGGCCGCACCCCGCCCGACAGGTATTCCGCCCCGCGCCCCGCCATTGGGCCGCAGCTGCGGGGTCCCCCGGGGATTGGCCCAGGTGGCGGCCCCACCTCGCCCTCATTGGCCGCAGGTGCCACCGCCCCCGCCCCGGGACCGCCCGCCCCGCCGATTGGCCGCCGGCGGGGCCTCGGGTCGGCCATGTTCGGATACCCCCCGCCCCCGCGAGGCCTGACGCTGGACTCCGTGCGCGCCCCCCAGCGCGCGCCCGCCGGCCGCGCCCCCGCCCCTCCCCGCCCCGCCAGCGCCAAGTTTCTAGAGTTGGCTGGGCCAGTGTCCCTCGGTTCGTGCGCCGCTCGCTCCCTTCCGCGTTCCGCCGTCGGCCCCACCTGCGGCCCGGCTCGGCCGCTGGGGTCCCACGCCATGGACCGAGCGTCCGGGGCGCGGCGCTGACGGCGACCGGCGGAGCGCGCAATGCCCAGCAGGACGGGCCCCAAGATGGACGGGAGCGGCGGCCGTGTCCGCCTAAAGGCGCACTACAGCGGGTAAGCGCGAGCGCCCGACGGCGGGGCTCGGCCGGGGCGGGGGGCGTGCGCGTCGAGGCCGCGCGGCCGAGTGCAGAGCCGGGCGCAGGAAGCTGCCCCTGACCGCACTGGCCGTCGGGGACCGTGCCGCCTCCGCATCGGGAGGCGGAGGTTTAGGGGCAGCGGGCGGTGGCGTGGAAGGGCGGGGACAGCGAGGCCCCTCCGGGCCCAGGGGGTCCCAGCAGCTTTGGACGCCCCAGCGCCTAGAGACTACCCTGGGCGATGCGGGCGCACCGGCTTCATTTGGACTTCACAGACGGGAAAGCTTGCGGGCAGGACTGGGTCAGCCTGCGCCCGCCCTGCCGCCCCGACCCCGGCTCGGAGTCGCCGGCCCAGCTCCGACCGCCGCTGCCTCTCGGGTCAGCGGGTCTCTCCCCGCCCCGACAGGATTGTCCTGGGCTGGAACTTGCCCGGAGGGGCCCGTGGCGCGGAAGACGGGCACCTTGACTCTCCGCGTCCCCGGGCCCCGTGTTGACATTCTCCCTGGGAAGTTGGCCGGTATCGGTGCTCTGGATTTGACCTGCCTCCCTGTGAAATGGGGCTAACCGGCGTCCACAGGGGTCAGTGGCCAGAACCCTGGACCGGCCCCTGGAGCGCTCGCTGGATTCTTGGAGGCTGGACAGCCCTGGTGGGGATGGAGGAGGCTGCAGCCGGCAGCGCTGTGCCGCGGTGTGCCCGCAGAGACTGGAGGAGAATGAGGCTATTTGGCTGTTGCAGCTTTCTGCTCCTGTTGGTCTCCAAGAGCCCCCAAATCCGGCGGCTGCCCCTAGGGTCACCTCTGCGGGGGTGGGGAAGATGAACGCCACCTGCAGTTGAACTTGGTGGTTGGGCTGTAGGGCCTGGGGGACCCCAGCTCTTGACCTGGAGAGCACACTTTATTTGGGGTGTAGGTCAGGTTGTGCCTGCCCTCTCTGCTGTCCTCAGCCTGACCACCTTGGGAGCGTGGGGGTGGGGTGGGATGGGGTGGTGGGAAGGGAATTGGTGGCAGTACCTTAGAGAATAAGGATTTGTGGGGGGGATGACTGGCCATCCCACCTGAAGAGGTTGAGGGGTCGTATCTTCTGGCCTGTCAAGGTGGACTGCAGACTGAAGCTGGTGAGGTGTCAGCTGGGTCCCGGCCTCAGGCCTCTGCTTGTCCGAGAGGGAGGGGTGGCGGTCACACATCAGACAGTCCTCTTTCCTGTCCGGAACCATGGGATTGAGCAACTAGTGACTGACTGTGAAAATCAGAGCCGATCCTTAGCCAGAGGAAGTCCACACCCGGAGAGGCAGAGGGCAGGTGGAAACCAGACCCCCAGCCCTCCACCCGGGGACCAGTTCCAGTCTGCGCCCGGGGAGGGGAGGAGAGGGGGAGGTGGACTAGGCCGGTGTCCCGGCAGTGCTCTGGGAGTGCTGGCCGAGCAGCCTGTTTAGCCACCCCTCCCCATCCACCCCAAGCTTGGGCCCCTGGAGAGCGCTTTGGTTACCTTGGGAAATGTGACCTGTTGAGTCTGGTTTCCTGGAGATGAGGCCACACCCTAAACTCTTCCCTCTTCTTCCCCTTCCAACCTGCGCCCTTCCTCTCTCCTCCCCAGCCCCCTCCTTTCCTCCCCTCCCCCTCTTCTTTCCTCTTCTTTCCGCCCCACTGAGGCTCCCACCTGTTTATGCCTCCTCCTTCCTTCTGCGTCCACCTTTCTCGTTTCTGCCCCAGGCTGACTGTCCCATCCCTGTCTGAGCTCCTCTCTCTTCCCAGTGCTTTTCCTAAAGGCTGTACACTGTCACCTGGGGAGGGGCCTCGGTTGGGAAACTTAGTCCTCAGGGGTGGTAGACCTGATGCAGGCTCCAGAAAGTGTCCACCAGAATCCTCGCTCACTTATCCAAACCCCGAGGTCCAAGTGAAATTTTGTTCCTACCCTGTGGCCCGTGGAGGGAGGTTCTGTTTAAGCACCCAGGCCTGGAGCTGAGAGTCAGATACACTGGAGACGCTATTGTTAAAAATAGGGGTCTTTAGGGACTCCCCCCAGAATGGCTTCTGTGATCGCCCTTTCCCATCCCCTCTCCTCCCCAGGCCCTCCGGAAGCTTGAGATCAGGGTCACCCCCTCGCGAGTGGGGCCTTTGGAGGGTGTGGTCACTGGAGTCTCATGGGTGTCCTGTGTTTTGGGGGGTTTCTGGGTGATGTGTGCTGAGTTTGGAGACCCTGCTCTGCCTGGTTTTCTGAGATCACAGAAACGCCCTGGCTGGATCTTCTCTCCAGCTCAAGCCTGGTTTCCAGAACTCAAAGCCTGGGCTGCATGTGAGGCTTGGGTGGCCCCATGGGTGCTGCCCCTGCCCAGGGCTCTGTCTGAGCTGTTTGTTCCGGAGGCTGCCTGATTCCGGTTTGGGGTGATGCTCGGGGTGGTGGTCAGAGATCTGGTCAGGGAGTGGGACGACCTTTCCCCGCTGTGCTCAGGTTGTGCGGTGGAGGGAAGAGCTAAAGTGCTGTCACTGGGTGATGAGCTCAGAGCCCAGGTCCGACCTGCTGTCTGTTGCCTCCAAACCTCTGGGGAGCCATTCTCCTGACCCCTAGGCCCTGAAGCACAGGGCAGGGGGATGAGCTGCCCCCTGGGGGTGGAACTGTGGGGGAGGGTCATGGGGCAAGGACAGATCAGGCGATGCGGTGGCAAACTCAGTTCCAGAGCTCCCCATGGCATGGGGACTGATGGGTGTGCCGGGTGGCACAGGTACGAGGTCTGGGAGATGTGGTGGGCGTGGGAAGGCTTGGTCTCTGGGGCCCCCACTGATGAACTGTGAGACCCCTCTATGCCTCAGTCTCCCCATTTGCCAAGATGCCACAGGCTGTGGTGAGCTTGGGGCCCTGGGGTGGGCGCTGAGGGTCTGAGCAGATGGGGTGGGTTCCAGCTGTGTCTCCCTACCCCCTCGGGAGTGAGCCATGGGCTGGACACGGGCTTCCATGGTCACCCAGCAGATGGATCTTGGATCTTGGTGGCCCTGGATCTGTTGCCTGGTGGACGGAGAGGCTCTGTCAGCACACGTTTGATGGAATTCAGAAGCCAGTGGTGTTAATGCTCAGGGGACCCTGTGTTTCTCTTGTTGGGGGTGTTTCAAAACTTTTTTCAGAGGCTCCCACCCTTGTGGTGTTAGATGTGGGTAAACTTCCTCCTAACTTCAGTGTATCCTGTGTGATTCCTGCCCAGAGTCTCAGCAGACGTACGTTTACCCATGTCAGCACCAGCCTTGCTTTGGGTGGTAGGTGATGTGGGGACAGTGCATGGGGTGGTCTGAACATCCCTCCCTCCCTGTCCTAGGGAGTCGAGTGTTCCCTGGTGCTGACTTGCCTTACCTCTAAGGGCCATTCTCAAAGGCTGACGATGAATCCCTGGGTTGTCTTCAGCCATCCAGCTTTTATATCCCAAGTGTGGGACTTGGTTTTCCAAAAAAACTGGGTCTGGAATTATGTTGTGGCCCTACCAAAGGCAATTGTCGAATGGTCTCTCCAGGGTTTCAAGAGGCTGTGGCACTGGGGTAATAAGTTATTCGCCCTCCCCGTACCCCCCACCACTTCCCACCTCTCAAAGGTCCCACACCCTGGATACTGTGTGGCCCTGTTGGCACTATCGAGGTAGTGGGACGATGTAATGAGGCCTGTGGGTTTGAACTGAACCTTCTGTGTCCAGTTGTGCCCACCCCTCCTGGGTGACTGCCCCTTACTCTGTCCCTCTGCCCCTTGGAGGCATGTTCAGGTGCCGGGATGGGTGTTTCTGCAGGGCACTCATGGTGTAATTCACATGGCCTGTGGGCAGTGGTTCCAGGGTTGGGGGGGAGCTGTCATACCCTTGGGGACAACATAGCTTCCTGTATTTGATCAGCAACTTAGTTAGTTGATCATCAGTATCTCATGTGACTTAAACGTGCTCCCTGGTGAAACCTGTGTGTCCTCTCTGCCCAGGGACCTCCTCATCACCAGCCTGGACTCCGCCACCACCTTCGATGAGCTCTGCGCAGAGGTGCGGGAGATGTGCCGGCTGCACCCGGGCCACCCGCTCACCCTTAAGTGGGTGGACAGTGAAGGTGGGCCTGGGGGGTGTGGTGGTCGCGCAGTATCCCTCTAAACCTGGGCGCGGCCCCTTCCCTGGGGAGGTGGACAGTCTTGGGATTACGCTGATTCAAATTAACTAGCTTCCTGTTTCCAGGGAAGAGGCTGTGGCAGGTCACAGAGGAACTAGGGGGTGGGGGTGAGGGTCCCTTGGGGGCAGCTGTCCTCCCACAAGGCCAGCTCTGGTGCTGGGCCCCAGGAAGAGGCTGCAGGAGTCCCCCCACTTTGTGTGGGTCCTGACCTTCCTGACCCCCTTCCTCATGTTCTGGGTTTTTCTGGTGGGTGATTGCTAGCTGAGCTGTGGTTTCTCAGGGAAGTGGGGAGGGGACGGTGGCCAGCGCCCTAGGGTCCACCTCTCTTTTCCTTTCCTTCCCTCCTTTCCTGTAGCCAGACACACGTCTGAGATAGTGGAGGGTTTGGAAGACAGTTCAGGAGAGCCTGCCCACCAGCTCTCAGGCTGGACATGGGAGTGGAGGAGGGTGGGGGCAGGCAGACCTCTGGCCACGCCCCTTCCCGCTGAAGCCAGGCCACATTGTCCTGGCTGTGGCTGTCCAAGCATCTGTGCTCCTGTCCAGCCTCAGTAGACAAGGAGTCCTTCCTTCCGGTCTAGGACTGGATAGGAAGGGTGCTCATTCTCTCCCAGGCCAGGAAACCTGCCCAGTTCGGCTCCCCATGTGGAGCTGTGGGTGACTTCATTGCCATTCTGGGGCTCGTTGGTTCTGACTTGGGCCTTTGGGTTGGGGGGTGACTCACTCTGGGACCAGCCAACTCTGCCCTGGGCGGCTGGTCACCAGCAGCAACACTTTGCCCTTCCAAAATTGGGTGCCCACCACCGTGAACCCCTTTGCCTTGGGCCTGCAGTGGCCTCAGCTGTGTCTCTTGTCCGCCTAGGTGACCCCTGCACTGTGTCCTCCCAGATGGAGCTGGAGGAGGCCTTCCGCCTGTCCTGTCAGCACAAGGATGAAGGGCTCACCCTCCACGGTCAGTGCCGGCCAGTGGGCGGTCTGAGGGTGGGGGTGGGCACTTGGGCACTTTGTCAGAATGGAAGCCACACAGATCACAGTTTAAGATCTTAGGATGCAGAGGATTTGAGAATGTGGAACAGGAAGCAATTTGGTTTTATTTTTTGCTTTTAGGTCTTATCATCCCAGATAAGAACCGCTCTTACTTGCCAGGAGTCAGTAAGGTGTCCTCTCACTGGACACGGAAGCCTGGGTTCTGGTGGTCGGCCCTCACTGCCCGTCCATGTGCAGGGTTTCCAAGGTTTTGCCTTGATAATCATCTGGCAAGGGCAGGCCATGGGGCTCCATGGGCAGTCAGACTCAGTGCAGGGCTCCTTGTGAGGCCACGTGGTCACTGACCTTCACTCTCTCTCTGGCTCTCTCTGCGTGCAGTTTTCCCGAGCATCCCCAAGGAGCCCGGCATGCCCTGTCCAGGTGAAGACAGTGAGTACCGTCCTCCTATGACACATGTCCTGGTTGTGGGTTGATGTGTCTGTTACGCCAGGGAGGGGAGGATGGGAGCCTGGTGGCCTGGGGCTCAGTGCTCCTCGTGAACTGTGTGAGGGCAGAGTGGGCAGCTGGTGTGGCCTCATGAGGGGTTCTCACTGGTGCTCCTGCCCTTGGCTGAGTGTGTTCAGACACCAGTGCCACCATTGGACAGGTTGTTGGCTTGGTCATCGGTGCCATGAGAAAACATCCGGAAACACCCTGACCTCCCCAGGCAGGCAGGACCCTGGCTGGGTTGGCTGGATGCGGCTCCCATGTGATCTGTCCCCACTCATACTGGCCCCATTCTCCTTCGTGGAGGGTCTGTGGGTTGAAGGTGAGATCCCAGGGGCCGTGGGTCAGAGAAGAGCTTCTGACCACACCCCAAAGGCCCCTGACCCTGGGCAGTTTGGTCCACCTTGTCCTTCAGGGCAGTCTTTACTGACTGGAGCACAGAGAAGCTTACAGGACTGTGCTTGGCCCCTGGCATGGGGCTGAGGGCATGGTGCCGGGGGAGTTAGCTCAGCCTCTTTCCCGGCAAGGGTCCTGGGTGGGCTCTGGGTGCAGCAGTGCTGCAAGGGTGGGAGCAGATTCCAGCAGAGGCCGGGCTGAGTTTGTGTGCACCCAGAGATATTTAGTGGGCCCTTGTGTGTGTGAGTCCTGGATTTAGGGGAGAAATCAGGGCTAAAGAGGTTTGGGGGTCGTTGAGACCGAGGGTCGGAGTGGCCGGTGAACAGGGCTGGCCCAGGGTCCCACGAGGAGATCAGGGGACCCTGAAGGAGTACCAGCAAGGCTGGAAACCAGCAGGCTGGAATCTTGATTTGTGGAATCCTGGCAGGAGGGGAGCAGGCAGCCTGAAGAGGCCGGAGCAGCCCAGGGCTTGGCAGGAGGTGCTGCCCCAGTGGTGGTCGTAGGGGTGGATGTGAGGGGCAGTTTTTGTGAGGGCAATGTGAGGAGCCCCAGGTCTCAGCTGGTGTCAGACTGTGGTAAATAAAGCTAGAGGCTGCAGGGGGAGGGGGCCTAGAGATTCTGAGGCCTGGGAGTCGCCCTGAGAAGTGGGGGTGGGGGGCAGTAGCCAGTTCTGCAGGTGAGACTTTCCAGCCAGAGTGGGAGGGGCTGACGGGAGGCACCTGTGCGCATGTGCAGTTTTGCTGTGAGTATACTTGAACCTACAAGGATGTGGTCAAAGCAGGACCTTGGGGGGGGGGGGGTGGCCAGAGAGGAGCCTGTTCATGGGGGACTCAGAGATGGGTGGGCTGCACAGGGGTTTCGGGGTCCTCATCCCCGTGTGGCTGCCCCTGCCTGGACTCCTGCCCGGGTGCCCATGTCTCCTGGAAGGGGCAGCATCGCACTTGGGAGAGCTCACCTGTGTTTTCAGACACACAGAAAGGTAAAATGAGAGAGATGTTCCTGTTGGAGACGAGGTCCTTTCCACTGTGCTCTGTGGGTGACTCTCAGCCACAGTGACAGGCTGGCTCGCTGTCTGCCCAGAGCCATCTCCAGCAGCCAGAGCTGGCCCGGGGCACAAGGGACACCCAGCACCTCTGCATCTCAGCATCCCCGAGGCAGGAGCCAGCCGTTGGCTTAGCTCAGGGCCCTGGCTGTGCTGCCTGAGGGCTCAAGTCTGCCCTTTCTGTCCCCACATTGGTGCTCTCCTGGCTTGATCCTCACTCATGTGGACGCTGCCCCATCTGGGGTCTCACATAGGGGATGGCAGTGGGAGCTGCACTCAAGCACCCCAGTGACCTGGAAGTCACCGGGGACTCTGCTGGAAGTTGACATGGGATAGCATGTGGTCAGGGCCGTGTCCCTGTGTGGGTATTCGGGGAATGTGGTGCCGTCTCTGCTCGCCAGCAGGTCCTTGAGATGCTCACCCGGGGCGGCTCCGAGGCTCCAGGCCCCTCAGTGTTGTTGGAACATTCCAGCAGTGCTGCGGGGGATGGGGTGGGGGGGTTGGGCAGAGAGGAAAGGGGACAGAGAGTGAGAATTGGCATCTCCTCCGCGTTCTGCTCATTCGGCTCCATTGTGATGCTGCCCTTGGGCAGTCAGGATGGCCCACCCTGATACTCTCGGGCAGTCAGGATGACTCCCACTGGTCCCATCATGGCCCAGATATGGGTGTGATTCTAGCACCTGCATCTGTGTTCACTGCCAAGGCTGTGGCCAGCGAGAAGGGTCAGGCTAGTGGATCAATGGCAGTCACGATCCGGATCAGGACCCCATGCAGAGGGCTGACGGTGTGACAAGCTGTGACTGGAGGACATGCTGCAGAGATGCAGCTGTGGGGGTGCCTGGGCACATTTGACCGGAAGGGCCACGTCGCACCTGCCAGGCCTGTGTTCCTGGCAGCAAAGCCCCTCTGTGTACGTCCACAGCCTGAATTTAATCGGTTCTCTCGGGTTTTTAAAAAACTGTAAAGCACACCTAACATAAAACTTACTATTTTAACCACTTTGAACAAATTCGGTGGCATTTAGTAAGTCCACCACCTCTCCCTGCTTCTGAAATGCATTTGGGAAGAAAAACTTGAGCCCACGAGCAGTCACAGCTCCTCTCTGCACCCCCTGATGGCCAGCAGACTGCGCCATCTCTACGGAGTCACCTGGTGTAGACATTGCCTGAAACGGAATGTACGATATGTGGTCTTTTGTGATGGCTTTTTTCCACTGATTGTGATATTTCTGAAGTTCATCCATGTTGTAACATGTATCAGAACTTCATTCCTTTTTTCTTCCAATTTTTATTACAATGATGAAGTACAGATAAAGTAAATTCACCATCTTAACTTTTTAAATATAGAGTTTGTTGATATTAATTAAATTCACATAGTTGTGCAACCATCCCCACTATCATCTCCAGAACTTCCTCATCTTCCCAAACCGAAGCTCTGTCCCCATGAAACATGCACTCCCCATCCCACTCCCAGCCCTTGGCCCCCACCCCCCCACTCTCTGTTTCTACGATTTTGACTCCAGGGACCTCCTAGAAGTGGGAACATACAGGATTTTTTTCTTTTGTGTCTGGCTTGTTTCATTCAGCATCATGTCCTCAGGGTTTATTTGTGCTGGAACAGGTGTCAGATTCTCCTCACTTTTTAATGCTGAGACATATTCTGTTGTATGGACAGACTACAGTCTGTTTATCTGTCATCTGATCATGGACACCTGGGTTACTTCATGTTTTAGCTACTCTGAATAACTGTGAACACAGGTGTGCAAATATCTCCTTGAGACTCTGCTCTCAGTTCTTTTGGGTATATATATGCAAATGGAATTGCTAGGTTAGGGGATGAAATGGTTGGATGGCATCGCTGACTCAATGGACATGAGTTTGAGCAAACTCTGGGAGATGGTGAAGGACAGGGAAGCCTGGCGTGCTCTACTCCACGGGGTCGCAAAGAGTCGGACATGACTTAGTGACTGAACAACAGCAGTGCTGGTTCTGTTTGTAATTTTTTGAGCAACTGCTGTACTGTTGTCTGCGGTGGCAGCACCGCCTTCCATCCTGTCAGCAGTGTGCACAGTGGCTCTCCTTGCCCCCTGTTTTCACCAGTGCTCATCCTGTTTCTGACACTGGTCTCTCTGGGCTGTGTGGAATCTTCATTGCTGCCCTTGAGACCTTCCTTGTGCAACATGGGATCTCTTGTTATAGTTGGGGTGTGCAAACCCTTTGCTGTGGCATGTGGGATCCAGTTCCCCAGCCGGAGATGGAATCTGGGCCTCCTGCGTTGGGGTTGTGAAGTCTTAGCCACTGGCCCACCAGCATAGTTCCTCGCCAGTGCTTGTTGTTTTCTGTTTTGTTGATGGTACCCTTCCTGATGGATGTTAGGTGGTATCTCATTGTGGTTTTGATTTTTGTTTTTCTGATGGTCAGTGATATTCAGCATCTTTTTAGTTCTTGTTGGCCATTTCTTTGGAGAAATGTCTACTCAAGTTTTTTGCCCACTTTGAACTGGGTTGTTTTACAGTTGTTGAGTTTTAGAAGTTCTCTACCTACTCAGCATATCAGATACACAATTTGCAAGTATTTTCTCATGTTCTGAGGTTTCTTCCCTACTTCGTTTGTGGTGACAAAATTATAAAATTTTCATGAACTCCAATTTGTTCTTCTTTTGTTGCATGTTTTGTTGTTGTTCAGTCGGTAAGTTGTGTTGGACTCTGCAATCCCATGGACTGAAGCACACCAGGCTTCCCTGTCCTTCACTATCTCCCGGAGTTTGCTCAAACTCATGTCCCTTGAATCTGTGATGCTATCCAACCATCTCATTCTCTTTTGCCCTCTTCTTCTCCTGCCCTCAATCTTTACCAGCATCAGGGTCTTTTCTAATGAGTCAGTTCTTTGCATCAGATGGCCAAAGTATTGGAGCTTTGGCTTCAGTCCTTCCAATGAACATTTAGGCTTGATTTCCTTGAGTTTTAACTGATTTGATCTCCTTGCTGTCCAAGGGACTCTCAAGAGTCTTCTCCAACACCACAGTTCAAAAGTATCAATTCTTTGGTGCTCAGCCTTCTTTATGGTCCAACTCTCACATCCGTGTGTGACTACTAGAAAACCAGAGCTTTGACTATATGGACCTTGGTCAGTAAAGTGATCTCTGTTTTTTAATATGCTGTCTAGGTTTCTCACAGCTTTCCTTCTGAGAAATCATTGCCAAATCCCCTGTGGGGAGGCTTTGGTCCTTTGTTCTTAGGTCTTAGGTTCTTAGGGTCTTTGGTACATTTTGAGTTGACTTTTGCACATGATGTTAGATAAAGCTCTGGCTTTGTCCTGTTCCATGTGTACGTCCAGTTTTCCCAGCACCATTTCTTAAAAAGACTGTCCTTTCCCCATTGAATGGTCCTGGCACCCTTGTTGGAAATCATTTGACCAAACTTGTGAGGGTTTATTTCTGGGCTCTCTGTTCTGGCCCATTGGTCCATATGTCTTGTCTGTATGCAGCACCACAGTTTAGATCACTG